GATTGCAGAGCATCCCTCTTTCTGTCAGTGTGGCAGTGGATGGATAGTGATGGCAAGCATCTTGTAGAGCAAATGGTGAGTGCTTGGCAGGGCTGAGCCAGGCCTGATAGAGCTACTCAGTGCTGTCTGTGGGGTGGTGATGCCCTGCTTGAGGGACCCCAGGAACTGGGGAGAGGATTCCCACCAGCAGACTGGTGACTGGCATCTCGTAGTGCTGCTCTGATACCGGTGAATATGAAGTTTTGCAGGGGCCTTTCCAGGTTCTCCCGTGGAGTACGTGCTTTAAATCCAGGCTTAAATACCCAGAGGAGCAGCCCTGCCTTGTACCCCCTGATTTCATCAGGCTCCTGGCTGTGTCCTCGCTGCCAACCCTCAGCCTTCCCCAGTGCTGCTTCAGAGCAACCAAGGGCCAAGGGCTCCTGTGCTCAACCTCATCCAAGGCTGGAAAGGACCACAGAGAGAGACCCCAAGTGCTGCCAGCTCCAATTAACAGGGGACAGCTCTCGTCCTGGAACATCTCGGGCTGCTGTGGGACAGTGGCAGTGCACGTGACAGTGAACAAGATCCCCCTGCGGGTGAAGGCTTCCTGACCTTGGCAGAGGGGTTTTGATCCTGTTGTTTTTGAAAGGGTAGAGGGGCAAAGTGAAAACACAGGAGTTGCTGCATTGCCCAGAGCAAATCCTGTTCCTGCAGCCCATGAGCGAGTCGTTCCGCAGCCCAGGAGGGATGGCTTTTTGTACCCCAAATTAAGACCAAATTGTTTATTTGCACTGTCCCAAAGCACCTGGGGCTTTACCTGGTTTTGTAACATCTAATGACTTACTGTAAGAGGAGTTTTGCAGTGAGACCAGGGCTATGTGTGCACTCAAGACCTTGATGCTGAACTTGTCACTCTTAATTAAACCTGCAGTAACGAGCGCTGCTGAGATGCCACGGAAGAAGTGGCAAGGGAGAGAATGGGAATACACGAGTTGGCTGTTAGTTACATAGAACACTATTGATTAGTCTTGTAAATCATCCTGAAAATCATGCTTGATTAAGTAAAGGCTTCAAGTGTACCCCCAGTATTCCTATCCTAGTGTCAGGGCTTGCCCGCAGCCCCACTCTGCTCGGTGCCAGTTTTCTGTCTGCCTTTGGTGACATGAAGTTGGTGCAATGATGAACTGAAGCCCTTTAATGCCCCTTCATTAGAAATGCTGCTAATGAGCCAGTGGATAAATGCTGCAGATGCTGCTTGTCCAAGTGCTGCTCAGCTGCTGTGACACTTTATGCAAATCATCATCTGAATTAATTTGGGCAGGGGAGTAAAATTCCGCAAGGAGAAACGGAGCAAATTTAGTGCTGGTGGGAGACTTGGGGGCCATCCATCAGTGTGACATCTCTTCAGGGGGAGAGGATAATGTCCCTTTACCCAGGAGGCATCAGCAAAGCACACACCTTGTTAGCTCAAATCCAGGGACCCCTGTAGCGCGCCGGGGTGGGGAGATGCTCCCCAAGATTTAGGAGCCCTGCCCTAAACAGGGGCAAGGTCTGAGTGTGCATTTGTGTGCTTTTCCTGGGACTGTCTATCCGGGCTGATAGCATGAGGATGGTGAGGAATGTGAGGGATGGTGTAGGTTATGCTTACCTCCCTTGGCTCAGCTGTTTGGGATGGCGTGTTTTTATCAGCCTGGGAAACACACAGATTGCTCATTCTCATGTTGAAGACTTAGAGACGGTCCTGCAGTTTTCCACTTTCCCTTTGCACTGAACACCCTCAGCAGGTTAACACTTGCATTCTGTAGCTCCAAATGGTGTCTTTTTGTGCTTTTTAAGAAGTAAAATTCTACTATTTTTTTGCCCTACCCCTTTAGCATGGTGTTATTGTAGTGTATGTCCCCTGCTGTGAGTTGAAACATTGATTTGCCTGTCATAACCTCTCCTTTCAGTGTTTTTGGGTTTTTAGGGTGAGGAAGAAGTTGGTCTTTTCCTAGCAGAGGTCTTTGTTGTGAGTAGATGCCTTCTGGGGTTGTTCTGGGGCTGCTGGGCCCGTTTTTGTCTTCCCAGCATCAAGTACCAGTGCCGAGCAGTGGAGAGATGTGCAACACTGGGACATTTTTGCTACTTCTGTACCAAGCAGTGAAAGCCTCTGCCATCCCCTCCTGTCCCTTGTGAGGGTTTGCCAGCTGGTGGTACCCGGCAGCAAGTGGAGAAGCCAGACCAGGGTGAAATACAGAGGTCAGCAGGTCCTGGAGTCACGGCACGGTTTAGGGAGTTCTGACCTAAATATGGGCTTTGCTTGCCTGTCAGGCAGGGGAGAAATCATTCCTGGGGTGAAAATCTCATTCAGAGGATGGGAAAGGGAGGATTATGGCTTGCCATCTGCCTCTATATTCAATATTGTAAATAATAATAAAAAAGGTAATGATCCACAAGTCCCTTAATGGAGAGGTTTTTGCCCTGCTGCCAAAGCACCTCACCTGTGCCTTGCTGTGCCACAGGCAAAGAAGATTTTTCTCCTGAGTCACTGCCAAGTGGGGCAGAAGGGAATTTTAAAGCTGCAGGGCACCCAGGAGAGCCTTGGAGTTGGTGCCTTTCCATGGTGCCCTCCTGCCAGCACCCCTGTAAGCAGCTCTTCCCAGCACCGACAGGCGCAGCGGTTTGCACAGACACATCTACCACAGCTAAATAACTCCGTAAGCAACCACCTATAACTTGTGGAGGACGTGGAATCCTACTGCCTCGGGCATAATGCCAGCGAATGGGCAAAAACATGTGTGCTGGTGACCCTGGATCAGCCCCAGGACTGCACCCCCAGTGCAAATTAACAAAGAGAAGTTTGTTTGATCTGGTGCAGAGATGGAAAGAGATGCCGTGAGCATCCATCCAGTGACTGCAAGTAAAGTCCTCTGGGTTGTTGGGGTTTTTTTTTGTCTGCAAGACAAAATGATCTCTGTGGAGGGATCTTTAATACTAGCTTAAAAAAAAGAGTAGGGAAAAGAAAAATACATCCAGAGTGTGTGGCATGACCATGTTTTAATTTAAAGTACAGCTCGTGCTTTCCTCTTACTTGGGAAGAGCACAGTTTGGGGAAACTGATTTTGGTAATAGCCTGTGAGAGTTGGGGGGTAGTTACTGTGCTGTTTCAGTGTAAGCTGCTTAACCATTCACGTGCTGTTTGTGTATTCTTGGGAAGCCAAGGGCTGAAGCTCATGCTGTTTTTTCCTTTCTATGCTTTTTTTTTTTTTTTTACCCTTCAGAAGCATCCAGCAATACTTGGACCACTGAACAATATAGAATGAACCTGCTGCAAAGGGGGAAAGGTGGAAGTGTGCTTGCTTTACAGAGAAAAATATACAGAGATTTGTCCCAATTTCCGCCTCGTTCTGGTTATTTGTATGCTCACCTTTGAGTTATTGACAAATCACAGTCTGGGGTTTCTGCTAGAGTCCTTTCATATGATTTGCTTAACCAGTGTGGAAGAGTCTTTGTAATGAGATACTCTCTCTTAATCTGTTACTGAATTCCTAATTGTGAGGTGGTTGGTGCTGTTGTATTGCCAGTACTGTGGTTTTTCTGCTGTGCCCTCCCTCTATCTGCAACTTGCTGGAAGGATGTCCCTGGCAGAATGCCACTGACTCAGGAGCGATGAAAACGTTCCAGGGTCAGCTGTGAGCATTGCCGTTCCTGAAATAACTCGGGGGATTAAAAACCAATCATAACGAACACGGATTTTGCTGACTTCAAGCTTGCCATAAAGACTTGCAACCCCCAAACAGCCCAGACTAAACCGAGACAGCTAATTTTTAATATTTTTTGTGTGATGAAAGATTATACAATTTTCTTAATGTAATGAAAATTATACTCTGTCCGCACTCCTTCCATGCAGACCAACATCCCTTCATGGAGCATCCTCCGAGCACATTGCCTGGAGCTTGCTGGGAGTGCCTTTGGCCAGCACCAAGGGCTTCAAAACAGTAAAACAAGACCTGCCTCTTCTAATTTAATGTTGGTTTTAATCTGCATCTGCAGCGGCAGCCTGCTAAAATCTAAATCAAATCAAGAGGTGGGGATTGAATTTATTAAGCTTCTGCTTAAGCTGAGTGGAATAAGGCAAGAGGCTTCAAGAGCATTGAATGGCTTTAGTTTTATTGGGGATCTGGTTTAAAAAGACCCAAAGCAAACCAGAATTTTTTATTTTTAATATATTTTTTCTTGAGAAGCTGAGCATGCAGAGCTATTTCCAGCTAATTTTAACACATAATTTAAAGGCATCCTCAAGGATTGAAGAAAATGTTTTTCTTAAAAAAAAAAAAAAAAGAAAAGAAAAAGAAAGAAAATGGATGGAGATACTGGAGTGTTGGGAGGTTAAGTGGTTTGTCCAGGGTTGTGTCTGCCAAGCCTGAAGTCAAGTTAATCCTTTGTTCTCAGTCCTTTGAGGTGGATCCATCTGCCTTTTTCCTTTATAACAAGCTCCTCCAGAAGACCAAGAGGCTGTTAAAGCTCACAAAGCCAGGACATGGCATATGGAGTGGTATAATTATGTTAGGGGTGTGACTGTGGAAGTAGGGGTTCACAGGGATGCTTTCCTCCTGCCTGGGTGGGTAGCTGCCAGGGTCACTGGTTTTGGTGACCTTGTGTCTCTCTCTCTCTGGATTAAATTGGCAAATATATGGGGTGTGAAGCCACTTTGGAAGGAGCAGGTTGTAGGCAGGGAGTGCAGGAGGGATGAGTGTGGTGCTCCCGGTGCCCCCACCACGGGCTGCCTCCAGGCCTCGTCAGGTTTTAATTAAAGCTCCCCTTGTAAAGGTGTAACAATGACAAAGTGCTTTTATTCCAGAGCTGTACTCTACATTTTTGGTATTTATGGGTCAAAGGGAAAGGCTTGGGTGGGGGTTTGTGTAGCAGCCTGCCCTGCCTGGAGGGCTGAGCGCTTGTGTCTGTGCTGGAGCACAGCAAGGAAGGGAGGACAGTGAGAAAGCACAACAAAATAAATGCAGTAATTCTTCCCCTTTTCGGACATGCGTGTGTGTGCACACGTGAGAGGACAGCATTATGGATGCTTGGGGAAATGCATTCAACAGCAGCCTGTTCCAGCAGCCCCTGGCTGTTTAGCAGGATGGGAAGCACTCGGAGCATGGAGACCTTGACCACATTTGGGATCTCCCAGCCGGGGGATGAGTGACCCCCGGGGCTCCCGAGACCTTGCAAACATCTTTGTCCTGTTGCCTCCTGTACTGTGTGAGCCCTTGCACGTGTGTGTATACACAAAGTCTTGGAAAATCAGTTTTATTATTAAAAGTCTGTGGGTTTTTTTTGGTCAGGATGGCTGATGGGGTATGAAGTCTCCCACCGCTGGGTTTTGGGCAGTGGATGCTGAGAGCTGCCACCTTTTACCAGCAGTTCAGAGCCTCCTGTCCACGCCTGGGTCTTGGGTGGTTCCTGGTCGTGGTTGGTGATGAACTGCTGAGGATGAACCACTGTGACTTCATACTGCTGCTGGAGGTGCACCCAAATTTCACTTACCAAAACGCTCACAAGCACCCCTGTGGTTTTTGGGTTGCTTTGGGGTCAGCGTGTCTCTGTCTGCACCTGCCTGTCCAGGCAGATCCATTGCTCAGCCCAGCCCTGTGTGCAGGTGGAGAATTTGCAAGGTTACCAAGACCAGCAACATCTTGTTTTTGAAGCTGCCTTGAGCTGGGTACATCCTGATCTTTGGCTATTCTGGGCATTTCTAGAGCATGTCTGAATCTCTCTTCTGCCAGGAGAGAGCTGGCACTGGATGAATCCACAGTGGTGGGGATGAAAGGGCAGGCAAAGCGCTTTGCAGGGGGATGAGAGCTGCAGGAATGGTCTGTAAAACCCTTTCTGTAGTCTTGGAGTCTGGAGAAGCAGGTGAGCAGGGATGAGTGATGCATCATCATCCTGCCAGCTGCACCTACTTCTTCTTTCAAGGGCCAGCCAAAGATGGGTTGTGCTGCAGGGATGTGTCAGCTCTTGCAGTGCTGTTGGCTGGAGAGGACAATGGAATTGGGCTGCAGGTCCTGAACCAGCCCCTTCCTCACTGCAACCTCCTTTGCTCGTGGTGGGGAGAGCACTGAAGGCTCATGGGGTCTAGAGCTGGTGTGCTGAGAAAAAATCTCCACATTTCTATATTTATTTATTTATTTAGTTAGTTATTCCCTGCATGATAAAACTGCTGTTCTGGCAATACAATTTTGTAACTCCAATAACATCTAAAGGTTCCTGCTGCTGTAGGTATTGAGCAGCTCTAAAAATAATTACAATGTTACATATAAAAAACCTATTGCTTTTCAGCTGCAGAGCGGATTGTCAGATGGTGGCTGCTGCTGTTTTAGCTCATGGGTTGCTACAAAATGTTATTTGGCTGTCATGTGCTTGGGTTTGGTGAAGGCCGAAACTATCTTTGATGCTCCAGTGCTGCTGTCACTTGAATTTTCTGGGATTTCCCCCAAACTCCTTGTGTTTGGAGTAAGAAAAAGGTTATATAGTTCCTATTTCAATCAACAGGGAGGAGACATGCCCCCAAAATGCCAATTAATTAGTGATAATTTAGAGGTTCCCATTGACTCTTCTGTTGGGCTGTCTGAGTCCAGCATCAGGGTGGCTTCGTGGGCCCATGGCCAGCAATTAAAGCCTGATTCATGATGCAAAGATGAAGCAATGCGGGTTTCCTTGTTCTCAGGACCTTGCCCTGGCAGCCCTGAGTGCTGAAAAACTGCTCTGGCGAAAGAAAGGTGGATGTGGAGGGTAAAGGGATACCCACGGGTGGAAGTGAATGTGTTACCGGTGGGCCTGCAGCACTTTTGTCCCAACTCCCAGAAAAAGCCATGGAGGTCTCAGCACAGCACTGGCTACTTGCTGAGCACGGGGGGATGCTTTTACGCAGCCTGGGCAGAATATTTATCTCTTCATCTTAGAAGCAATTAAATCTCATTAGCAGGAGGTGCTGTGACCCGGAGTAACTCTGTGATCTCCTTATGTGTGAGTGATGCCTCTCACACTCGGCATTTATCCCTTCATGCACGCTTCGACTGGGCTGTGCAGTTATGCCTTGGAGGTTTTGGTGGGGGAAAAAAGGTTAAATGTTGCATTTTCCTGGAGCCCCGAAACCTGTTTGCAGGTTTGCCTCCAACTGAAGGCGCTGGCTTTGGTGTCGTCTTTTGCCTGCTCCGTGGCAGTGGGTTTGGGTTGGGGCTTGCTCTGTGGGAACCAAACTGTCCTGTTCTGCGCAAAATAAATACAACTTTGATGTATGGTCTGCTGGGGCTGAATTGCGCTATTTCATAAAAGCTTCTGGAAGGCTGGGTTTTTTCCCAGGGAAATTAAATTCCATGTTCGCCTTGAGGTTCTACCTTGCTTTGTTAGATGAGTAACAAGCCAGTGTACACCTCATCCAGGAGAAGTTTGATTGAAAATCAGACTTCTGGTCTGTAATTTACCCCAAGAACTAAAACTGGAATTTTTTTTTGACTGAAATAATTGGTTTAGCTGCACTGCCTTTACAATGAGTGTGGGATTGTATTAATAGAGAATGAATTTATTTCTCATTTACTTTCCTGAGGTTTCCTCATGTTTAAACTTTTTCTTTCTTTCTTTCACCCCCCCCTTTCCAGTACACTAGGGTTTGGATTCCTGACCCTGATGAAGTTTGGAAATCGGTAGAAATTATCAAGGATTACAAAGAGGGAGATAAAAACCTCCAGCTGAAACTTGAAGATGAAACTGTAAGCTTTTGAACGTCGTTATTCCTTTTAGTAATTTAAAGCTTCAAATTAATGTGTGAAGACCATGTCATAGTTTCTGTGAAGTAGTTTAAAATGTGTTTTATTGCCTTAACACTTCCAGCTCTTCCCTGCCCGCTCTCCCTCCCTAGACACTTATGTTAAAGTAGGTTGTGAGAAAAGCCCTTGACCTCCATCATCTCTTTTCATCCCCTGGCAAACTTGTAATAGTCTGTGCTATCAGAAGTTGTGGGTTTTTTTTTTTTTTTTTTAGTAGCAGCAGTATCTTAGAAATACCAGTTTATGCTCTTTGCCGCTGAACAAACTGTGAAGAGCATGGCTGGTGGCATCTACTCAACCTTGGGCACCGATGGAAAAAATCACACAGAGCACAGAACTGACTGCTGTGCAACAGCTTTCTCCACGCCTTTTTGTTTTTCCCTTTAAGTATAGTCTTTTGTAAAACTCTCTTTTTCCTCCATTTTAGTTTTAAACAAATAGGTTTTGAAAGAAAAAAAGCACGAAACTCACTTAAATGTAGATGTTTTCTTAGCAAGCACTGCTTCCAAATGCACAAGCAGTCAGCAATAAATCATTCCCAAAGCAGGATGGAGGCTGGGGAAGAGCAGCTGCTTTCTGTTCTGCACAAAAAAGGTCATGGACTGGGACTTTGGGTGACAGCAAGGAATTGCAGATGAAGTTCACCATGGCATTTGCATCAGCTGCAAATTTGGGTGGTTTATGGAAAGAGTCAGCCGTGCTGTGTACCCACCACAAGGTGCCTGGTGTATCAGGAAGAATAAATGCATTTTTCATGAAGAATTTCATCTAAACCAGCTTTCTTCACAGAGCAAGTAGGGTTTCCTTGGTAGTCTAGAGGATGATCTGCTCTGTTGCTTAAAAAGAACACTTACTCCAAATTGAACATGCTCCAAGGAGGGCAAGTAATCCACATCCACTGCCAGCCAACCATTTTGACTCTTTGTGGAATATCTTGACCATATTTCTTAATCATAGAATCATAGAATAGATTGGGTTGGAAAAGACCTCCAAAATCATCAAGTCCAACCCCTGATCCAACTCCAATTACTATATCATGGCACTAAGGGCCACATCCAATCTCTTTTTAAAAACCTCCAGGGATGGTAAATCCACCACCTCTCTGGGTAGGCCGTTCCAATGCCTGATTACCCTCTCTGTAAAGAATTTCTTCCTAGCATCTAACCTAAACCTCCCCTGGCAGAGCTTGATCCCATGTCCTCTTGTCCTATTGTTGGTTGCCTGGGAGAAGAGACCAACCCCCACCTGGCTATAACCTCCCTTCAGGTAGTTGAAGAGAGTGATGAGGTCACCTCTAAGCCTTCTCTTCTCCAGACTAAACAACCCCAGCTCCCTCAGCCTCTCCTCATAGGACTTGTGCTCAAGTCCCTTCACCAGCTTCGTTGCTCTTCTCTGGACCCGCTCCAGCACCTCAATATCCTTCCTGAACTGAGGGGCCCAGAGCTGAACACAATACTCAAGGTGTGGCCTCACCAACGCAGAGTACAGGGGAAGGATCACTTCCCTGGTCCTGCTGGCCACACTGTTCTTGGTGCAGGCCAGGATGCCATTGACCTTCTTGGCCACCTGGGCACTGAAGCAGGAAGGGTTAATCGGGACACTTTTACTGCGGGACCATAGAGGCCCCCTACCCCCCTGTACACTTTTAGTTTGCCTTAAGCTATATTTCGTAAGCTGCATTTTGCACAAGAAGACTCTGTCCTGTGCTGAGGGCATCAGACCTTAAAGGAACCACAACAAACACTGGGCAAAGAACCCCAGTCCCATAAATCTCATCCAGAGGAGCCAAGGTGACATCTCAATAGGTAAATAGGCCCAAAGCCAAGGGTTTCTCTAAGGCTGAGCGATCAGAACACAGAAACAATAGAAAGAACGAAAGGTCCCCGAGGTGAGGTGAGGATGAGGATTAAAAAAGCAACCCCCAGGATGAAGGCAAACAGAAACTCCCACCAAAATATTCCTCAAAATGGAAACCACGCCTCAATCTCCGTCCCTAACTCCACCTGTTATGAATATTGTAATCTATGTTGTAATCATTGCCAAACCTGTATAAAATACTCACTCTAACCTAACCAACTGGGAGCCTGTTTTCCCAGCACTAGCTGGCAGGCTGCCCGGCCGTCAATAAATAAATACCTTGCTGTTCTAGGCATAAAACTCTGTCTAAACAGTTTTTTTATCTGCTTTTTTTGGGCATCAGCACACTGCTGGCTCATGTTCAGCCTCCTGTCGATCAGCACCCCCAGGTCCCTTTCTGCCTGGCTGCTCTCCAGCCACTCTGTGCCCAGCCTGTAGCGCTGGTTGTTGTGGCCAAAGTGCAGGACCCGGCACTTGGTCTTGTTGAACTTCATCCCATTGGAGTCAGCCCATCTCTCCAGTCTATCCAGATCCCTCTGCAGAGCCCTCCTGCCTTCCGGCAGGTCGACACTCCCTCCCAACTTGGTGTCATCTGCAAATTTGCTGATGATGGGCTCAATCTCCTCATCTAAATCATCGATAAAGATGTTAAACAGGACTGGGCCCAGCACTGACCCCTGGGGGACACCACTGGTGACCGGCCGCCAACTGGATGCAACCCCGTTCACCAGCACTCTCTGGGCCCGGCCCTCGAGCCAGTTCCTGACCCAGCACAGAGTGCCCCTGTCCAAGCTGTGGGTTGCCAGCTTTTTCAGGAGTATATTATGGGAGACAGTGTCAAAGGCTTGGCTGAAGTCCAGATAGACTACATCCACAGCCTTCCCCTCATCCACCAGGTGGGTCACCTGATCGTAAAAGGAGATCAGGTTGGTCAAACAGGATCTGCCCCTCCTAAACCCATGTTGGCTGGGTCTGATCCCTTGTCCATCCTGTAGCTGCTGTGTGATTGCACACAGGATGATCTGCTCCATAACTCTGCCAGGCAGTGAAGTCAGGCTGACAGGCCTGTAGCTACTAGGGTCAGCCTTGCAGTCTTTTTTATGGATTGGGGTGATATTTGCCAACTTCCAATCATATGGGACCTCCCCAGTGAGCCAGGAGTGTTGGAAGATGATGGAGAGTGGCTTGGCAAGCTCTTCTGCCAGCTCCCTCATTACCCTAGGATGGATCCCGTCTGATCCCATAGACTTGTGAGGATCCAGATGATTCAGTAAGTCACCAACTATTTCCTCCTGGAATACAAGGGGGTTATTTGGTTTCCTATCTCTGTCTACCAGCTGCAGAGGCCAGTTGCCTTGAGGGCCACCTGTCTTACTGGTAAAAACTGAGGCAAAGTAGGTGTTAAGTACCTCAGCCTTCTCCTCATCTCTATTGTTTCCCTCCAAGTCCATCAAAGAATGGAGGTTTTCTTTGCCCCTCCTTCTGTTATTAATGTATTTATAGAAGGACTTTTTGTTATCCCTAACAGAAGTGGCCAATTTAACTTCGAATTGCACTTTTGCATCCCTGATTTTCTTTCTGCATGATCTAGTTGTCTTCCTGAATTCTTTGTAAGTAGCCAGCCCTTTCTTCCATAGTTGGTAAACTCTCTAATGGGAGGATGGAGAACAGGAATAAGACATGACTGATGAGGCTGTTCATCAAAGCAGTTTTTCTCTCGCAGCAGTGCAAGCACAGGCTGTTGGCAGTGTGTGAACACACCAGGTTTGCAAAGAAAGTCACTGATGTTGGAATCTGCACTCAGGGCTTGGTGCTGTGGTTCTTTCCAGGCTCAACCTTGTCTGCTTTTGTTGTCCTCTACAGTTTGCTCTTCCAGCATAGGGCAGCTTTCTGAGAAGGGTAAAGGCTGGATGATCCTACTCTTGGAGGTGCTTTTTTTACCCTCCATGGTGATAAACCTGGATGAGAAGATGCACAGATGCCACCCCAGCATTCCTTGGAAGAACCAGGCACCAAGTTGGAAGAGACCTTACAGTTCAGTCAGTTCCACCGCCACCTTCCACTATCCCAGGTTGCTCCAAGCCCCATCCAGCCTGGCCTTGGGCACTTCCAGGGATCTTCCAGGAATCCCTCCCCAGCTGGGGGCAGCCACAGCTTCTCTGGGCAACCTGTGCCAGGGCCTCACCACCCTCACAGAGAAGAATTTCTTCTTAATATCTAATCTAAACCTACTGTCCTTCAGCTTAAGGCCATTTCTCCTTGTCCTGTCCTTCCATCCCTTGTCCCCAGTCCCTCTCCAGCTCTCCTGGAATCCCTTTAGGCCCTGGAAGGGGCTCTCAGGTCTCCCTGGAGCCTTCTGTTCTCTAGGTGAGCTTTCCCAGCCTGGCTCCAGAGCAGAGGGGCTCCAGCCTTCAGAGCATCTCTGTGGTCTTCTCTGTTATCACTCCAGCAGCTTCAGGACCTTCTGATGTTGGAAACCCCAGAGCTGGGCACAGATGGGTGCCTGGGTTCAACTGGGTGCTCATCTCATTCACAGCAGCTCCTACCTACCGCTTCTTGTGCTCAGGCTGCCAAAGTATGTCTGCTCATATTTGTGAGTGCTGCAACCTCCATCCTTCTTTTCTGGTTGAGATTTCCAGCAGTTTTAGTGCTTGGGGTGGTGGTGGTGGAGGAGAGGCAGATATTTTCCCCCTCTCTAATCTGGATATTTCCCTGAAAACCAAAGGGGCTGAGAAATCCTGCAAAGTCTAATCTTTTTGTAGAGCTGAGTGTCAACAACATTAAAGTACAAAGACACAAAAGGACTACTGGGTGTTGTAGGTAGTAGCTTAATAAGCATGTCAATGTCATGGTGAGACATGAAACATCTCATTTTGGGGTTCTGGAAGAGCATCCTTTTTGATACTCTGCTGTATGAAGCCCTGCTTGGATCTGAGTCATGTTGGACTGAAAAACTTTAGGATAGGGAGAGAGCACTCCCTTCCATCAGACTGGAGATACCCAGTTGTCATAGTTCTGATTTTAGCAAGGAATTTTTCTTTCCTTCCC